TTAAGGACATTGCCCAGGCCCTGAGTTCAAGCCTCATGACCAACACACACAAACACACACACACACACACACAGAAAAATGAAACATCCTTTGGAATTTGGGTACCAGTGACTCTAGTCTGTAAACCTGCCTACTTAGGAGGATGACATCTGAGGATCACAATTTAAAGCCAGCCCAAGCAGGAAAGTTCGTGGGAGTCTTCCCAATTAACAAATAAAAACAAAGCAGGTGTTGGATATGTGGCTGAAGTGTAGAATACCAGCTTTGAGCAAAATGCTAAGATACAGAGCCTAGGCCCTGAGTTTAAGCCCCATTCCTTTGGGAATCTCACTATCTGAGCTGGGTACGGTGGCATGTTCCTGTTACTCCAGCATTCAAGAGACTGAGACAAGATTTCCAGTTCAAAGTCAGGTTGGGCCACATTGTGAGTTTCAGCCTAAATGACACAATGAGACAAGAAAGACACGATCTCAAAGCAAAATGAAGCAATAAACACAAACCTTACAATCTACTCTGGCATTTATCTTCTTAGGATCTCCTCTTAAACTTCTACTTATAGGGCTGGGAAGGCGGCTCAGTGGTAGAGTGCTTGCCTTGCATGCATGAGGCCCTGGGTTCGATTCCTCAGCACCACATAAGCAGAAAAAAAAAGCCAGAAGTGGTACTGTGGCTCAAGTGGTAGAGTGTTAGCCTTGAGCTGAAGGGCGGAGGGACAGCGCCCAGGCCCAGAGTTCAGGCCCCACGATCGGACCAAAAAGAAAAAAACAAAACTTCTACTTATAACATTTTCTACTATTAGATGACATGGGACCCATGAGTAAGAAGTTTTTTTGTTCATTTGTTTCTATTTTCTTGTTTGCTTTTTCGTCAAACCCAGGGACTCAGACATGCTAAGCCTGTATATTATCAGTGAGCTACATCTCCAGCCCAATAAAGTTCAATTTTTAACTCATGTAAGTTTTAACTAAATTTTGATCCAACTCTATTATTATTTACCATGTGATAGGAAAAAGACTTGAGAAATAGCAACCCTTGAGGAACTCACTAGAAACAGACACTAACACTCCAGTCAAGACAGGAACATCACCAGAGAGATACTGGCATCCATCTGCAGAGAGGTTAAGTTTTCTCTCCCCCCTCAAGGTCAGAAAAAGTTTGTGCACCTGTAGCTCTGCAGCCCAGAACTATATACTTAGACAGAATACTTTATTCAGTTGATAGTTACTGCTAGGTTTGTATTCTTCTTGCTTGCTTGCTTGCTTTTCTTTCTTTTTTTTTTTTTGTCGGTTGTGTGGCCTGAACTCTGGACCTGGGCACTGCCTCAGCTCTTCAGCTCAAGGCTAGCGCTCTACCACTTAAGCCACAGTACCTCTTCTGGCTTTTTTTTTTTTATTGTGATGCTGAGGAATCGAACCCAGGGCCTCATGCCTACAAGGCAAGCACTCCACCACTGAGCCACCTTCCCAGCCCCTAGGTTTGTACTTTTCATGGGAGCAACAGGTAAAATATCAACCAAAAGCCAAAGAAAGCTGAATCCGTGGATTGGAACTGGAGCCCACCTGGAAGGGAATTCTGCTGTGTCTTGGGTATCTCAGGAATTGCTGGTGCATGAACACTGAATGCTAGTGACTGACACTGGTAACTAAAAAGCTAGTGGTGGCTGGGTTCAAGGACCTAAATAACCACATCCAAAAGCAGGTGAGGAGCCAGGCGCCGGTGGCTCATGCCTATAATCCTAGCTACTCAGGAGGCTGAGGTCTGAAGATCGCGGTTCAAAGCCAGCCTGGGCAATAAAGTCTGTGAAACTCTTATCTCCAATAAACCACCAGAAAACCGGAAGTGGCGCTGTAGCTCAAGTGGTAGAGCGCTAGCCTTGAGCTGAAGAGCTGAGGGACAGCGCTCAGGCCCAGAGTTCAAGCCCCACAACCGGCATTAAAAAAAAAAAAGCAGGTAAGGAGCATTATTTGCTATTCATTCGGGTTGCACAACTAAGCAAGTGTTCATTTGCTGCTTTTGGACTGTTGGCAGACCCTGAATATTTTTTGTTTATTTTTGTGCCAGTCCTGGGGCTTGAACTCAGGGCCTGGGCAATGTCCCTGAGCTTCTTTTGCTCAAGGCTAGCACTCTACCAGGGTGGTTTTAAATTTGATCTTACGATCTGAGCCTCTTGAGTAGCTAAGACTTCAGTGAGTTACCTGTACCTGGCAAAGGTGTAGCCCAGGGCTGGTCTCAAACACATGATCCTCCTGCCTCATCCTTCTAGTTGATTACTGGCATGTGTCACCACTCCTGGAAATCCTGGACATTTTAAGATTTTATTATTATTTTTTGTCAGTTGTAGGGCCTGAGCTGTGGGCCTTGGTGCTTTCTCTGAGCTCTTCAGCTCAAGGAGAGTGCTCTACCACTTGAGCCACAGCACCACTTCAGGTTTTCTGATGGTTAATTGGAGATAAGAGTTTCATGGTCTTTCCTGTCTAGTCTGGCTTTGAACCGTGATCCTCAGATCTCAGCCTCCTGAGTAGCTAGGATTACAGGCTTGAGCCACTGGGGCCCAGCCTTTTTTTTTTTTTTTTTTTTTTTTTTTGAGACAAGCTCTCACTATGAGACCCAAGCTGTCCTTGAACTTGTGATCTTCCTGGCCCTACCTCCTGTGGGTTGGGATTACATGTATAAACCATCACCTCCAATCATGTTAACTAAAGTATGGTATATGCAGGGGAAGTTTCCAATGGTGTAACTCCTTTGAACTACTAACTTACCGTTTAACAAAATGAATACCAAGAATTTATTGGGGTCAGGTGAAGAGGAGGGGTGGGGAAGATCAATAGAGAGAGAAAGGTAGAAGAATGTAGTCACAAGATTTGTAAGAAATGAGAGGCAAGCAACCAATACAGGCCCAAGGCTTTACTGGGGGACAGACCTGCCAGGCTGCTCCAAGCAGGATGGAGGTAGCAGCAGTGGACAAGTGTGGGCAAGGTGGTCATGGGTCACATTACATGGGCTGCAGGAATTAGGGAGGAGAGTATGAGAAGAGGTGTTTACGTGGGCTATGGGAATTGGGAGGAGAGTCTCATTCCGAACAGGAGTATAATGAGACTGTTGCAACTAGACAGGAATTTATACATCACACTGGGGAAACAGTACTACACTGGGGAAATAGAAACTCAACAGATTTTTGTAAACAGGTAGAGGTGCAGGGTGGAAACTTTCCAGAATCAGCAAGCTGACTCTAAGACCTTAGATTCCCATTTTTTTTTTATGTGTAGGTTTAGAAAATAAGAGGCAGAGGATAGGCAAGATAGTCTCTAGCCCCTTCCTGCTGCTTGGGGGCATCAGGGTTTTAAGGATCAAAGGTGGAGATGTAATCTAGTCTGGGAGAAGGTAGCAGCAACACTTCCTTGGTTGCAAACATGCATATACATCTTTGGATGAAATCTGAAAGAAGTCTTACAAGACAGGAGCAACAAAAAAGAAAAAAACATTATTAGAGGGCTCACAAACAGAAGGAAAGGCAGCCAATCATTCCAGGTGTAAAAGAAAAAAATTGGATGACTTGGCTAATTCTTGTCTTCTGCATTCCAGGTGGTCCTGGAGTTGGTGGATCATATCCCTAACCACTCTCAACTGATTAACATTTGGCAACTGGGTAAGGGAGAGCAGGATGGACTGATTAAGAATAACCAGCCAGAAGCTGGGGCTTGATTGGATTGCCTTAAGGGCCCAGTGGGAGGCTTTGGTCATTTGCTGGACTATATAGATGTCTAGACTATAGAGGATGGATGGAACATCCACTATAAATGAAAATAGCAGCTAACAAAAACAAGAATATAAGTTACTGTCCAGTTAGAAGGTAGACAGGTATGGACATTAGATAGACATGCTTATGAACTATTTTCTTTTGATCTCCTGACTCTGGTTCGTTTTGAAAGGGCTAGCACAAAGTGACTCCATTAAGAATCTGACACCATCCCTTCTTATCTGAGCAGTTCTTCCCAACTGCCTCTAGGTGGATGCAGGTTGCCAGGACTAGCTCTGTCCCAGTGGGTCTAGATGGTCTCTTCGTCTTGTTGGGATGATGTCCCATTTGGTATTTTTGCTCATTGCTGCAATGAGATGTCCCAGTTGACTGAGTCCCACATTGGAAGGGGACAGTGACTAACTGCTTAAATGAGAGTTTTTGCCAATAACCCCTTTTTTTATTGCCAATTGAAGAAACAAGGAGATCAATAAAAACAGTTTTTAAGCAGGGCTTACCTGGAACTTACAATAAATAAAAATTAAATCTGACAGACTTCTAAGAGTCCCTCTGTAAGTCTGACTATAAATGCTACAGAGGATCAAATCTGTAATAACAAAATTGAATAGTAGTCATGATGAGGATTTTGAACAACAACTGATTAAACAATCTAGTTAATTTTTAACAGAATATAGCACTTCAGGATATAATTAAGATTAAAGCCATTGTCAGCAAGGTGGCTTACTTACTTGGGAAATAGACATACTAGACACATTTGTTTTCACCAAAATCTGATTAGTTTCTTTGTGGTTGAGGTCTTTTTCTTTTGGTATGTGGGCCAGTTAAGTCTTGGTTACCTTAGAACTGCACAATGACTCTCCTCAAGGCAATTTGCTGTTTCGCTATCCAGAGCAAGCCTGCCCAGGCAGAGAATTTTGCTAGGTTTTTATCCCAATCCAACTGTCCTTCCTCCTTGTCAAGGAGTTAGGCTCACATTCTAAGTATAATTGATTACGGCTATTCCCTAATTTTTGTCACAAGCAACACAGATAATAGTTACAACTGAAGTCAAAAAGCAAATAAATTCAGGAAATATCAGTATTAAAGAAGTATCAACATATAGCACAGAAGCACTTTAGTTTGATAATAACCCCATTAAAATGGGGTTATTTTGAACATGCTTACACATACACACTTGTGCACAAAAGTTTTAAGGTATTTAGGTTTTAAAAATGAAAGTCGCTTTTCTGTCGGATATCTTGACGAAGCCTCAGTGGTCCCTCCCACTCTCCAGCCTTCGCAATGCCGCCCAAGGACGATAAGAAGAAGGAAAATGCCTGGAAGTCGGCCAAGAAAGACAAGGACCCAGTAAACAAGTCTGGAGGCAAAGCCAAGAAGAAGTGGTCCAAAGGCAAAGTTAGGGACAAGCTCAACAACCTGGTCCTGTTTGACAAAGCCACTTACGAAAAACTCTGTAAGGAAGTTCCAAACTATAAGCTCATAACCCCTGCTGTGGTTTCTGAGAGGCTGAAGATTCATGGCTTGCTGGCCAGGGCAGCCCTTCAGGAGCTGCTTAGTAAAGGACTTATCAAGTTAGTCTCAAAGCACAGAGCTCAAGTAATTCACACTAGAAATACTAAAGGTGGAGATGCCCTCGCTGCTGGTGAGGATGCATGAACAAATCCAATTAGCTGTACATTTGGAAAAATAAAAGTTTATTACACGAAATGAGAAAGAAAGAAAGAGAGAGAAAGGAAGGAAGGAAGGAAGGGAAGGAAGGAAGGAAGGAAAGAAAGAAAGAAAGAAAGAAAGAAAGAAAGAAAGAAAGAAAGAAAGAAAGAAAGAAAGAAAGAAAGAAAGAAAGAAAGAAAGAAAGAAAGAAAGAAAGAAAGAAAGAAAGAAAGAAAGAAACTTGGGCCAGGCGTCGGTGGCTCATGCCTGTAATCCTAACTACTAAGGAGGCTGAAATCTGAGGATCATGGTTCAAAGTCAGCCTGGGCCAGAAAGTCCATGAGACAGGAGGTCAATGCTCACCCTTGCAGGTCTGATGGTGAGGCATACAGAAGTCTGAAATGGCTGGCAGGAGAGAGTAAAGGTTGTTCCCTCCGAGGAGGGTTGGGGGAGGAGAGCTGGGGACCAGTCAACCCTATAAGGGGATCATCCAACCCCAAACTGCTCTTCCCAGATTTCCACACCAGAACGTAAGAAATGAGAGGCAAGGGACCAATACGGGCTCAAGGCTTTACTGGGGGACAGACCTGCCGGGCTGCTCCAAGAGGGAATAGAGGCAGCAGCAGTGGACAGGTGTGGGCAAAACTTAAGCAAAATAATTTAGGGGGTGGTCAGGGGTTACATTATGTGGGCCGTGAGAATTCGGGAGACTCAAGTTCCGAGGTGTGTAATGAGACTGGGGTGGAAATTTGCACATCACGCTGGGAAAACAGAACAACACTAGGGAATATAAACTTAACAGATTTTTGTACACAGGTAGGTACACAGGGCAGGGGCTTTCCAGAATCTGCAAGCTAACTCTGAAACCTTAGAATATACAGTATATATGTGTGAAAATGGTGCTAGGTAAATTGAGGGGAATGGATGGGGAATCCCATGATTCCTCTTCCTATGCTAAATAAATCTCTGAAGATGCTTCCTGAGTGCTTGAAAGAAAAAAAAAACAAAACTACCTTTTTGTGACAAGAGAAGAAGCTGAATACCCTGAAAGATACCTAACCTACCCAGAAAGCATCAGAGAAAAGGAAAAAGAAATACTGTTAGAGTTGTTTAGTAAACTCAACAAACTATTCCATGCTTGCTTTTCTTAACCAGATTATGCAAGGATAGTACAGGAATTTGAACCGTGGTTTTTTTTTGTTTGTTTGGTTGGTTGGTTTGGTTTTGGGTTTTTTGGTCGTGGGGCTTGAACTCTGGGCCTGGGCGCTATCCCGCAGCTTTTCAGCTCAAGGCAAGTGCTCTACCACTTGAGCCACAGCGCCACTTCCGGTTTTCTGGTGGCTTATTGGAGATAAGAGTCTTACAGAGTTTCCTGCCTGGGCTGACTTTGAACCATGATCCTCAAAGCTCAGCCTCCTGAGTAGCTAGGATTACAGCCACCAACGCCTGGCCATCAACCATGTTCTTGATTAACACAAATGCTATGCAACATTGACAGAAAACTGGAAGAAACAAAAATGGCTCCTGGCTGAAAGAAATGACTTCTGAATCTTGTAACACATGGAAAGTTTACATGTACAGGATAGCTAAAAGGTTAAAATCAAACAAGTTAAAAGACATAGTGAAAGAGCTTCCAAAAGTAGCTACACAGAGACTTAAAACCAACAGCTCAGGGTTCCACCCCAAAGAGAAAGGAATGCTCAAGATTCATCAGTTACTTCTTATTTTGGACAGTAGAGAACTGAACAAGCGAAAGAATACAAAATAAAGAAGGAAAAATCTGGGGGGGAAGTAGCAAAGGGAAATGGGGAGGAAGGGCACTCTTCAGGAAAGATAGGAAAACTTACAAAGAATTAACTTAAGAAGAGGAGGAGAAGTAGGAGGAGGAGGAAGAGGAGGAGGAGGAGGAAATTTTATGAAAAGAAGAAAAGAGAAGACAAGAAAAAATGAAAAAAGGAAGAGGTGCTATGGAAACAAGTATTCTAAGAATAAGAAAGAGTTCTGAAATCAAGATGCATGGCTCACTTGACAGAATATTTACCTAGCCACTGCAAGGACCTCAGTTCAAACCCCAGTGTCACATAAATACATATATACATACATACATACATGCACGCATGCATACATACACACATACATATCTTCTGGAAATGAAAGACTATACAATCAATGAGGCATGGTGGTTCATACATATAGTCCCAGCTATTTTGAGAAGCTGAGGTGGAAGAATCACTTGACACCAGCCCAGAAATTGGAGGCCAGTCTGGACTCTGTCAGATAAGCAGAACCAAACAAAGAAAATAAACACTTATTCAAATTTTTAATTAAATTGAAGAATGTGGTACATACAGTCTTCCCAGAGAGTGGGGGGGGGGGGGTAGAAAAAAAGAGAAAAGATGAAAAACAGATTAAAAATCATAGTATTCTGTTTATGGAACATGTCATACTAGAGTACCAAGAAAGGGAAAAATAGATTAAATAAAAGGCAAAAAGTGATCCTCTAAGATATAATTCAAGAAAAGTAGTGGGGCCAAAGGACACAACGCAGCTGGGAGGGTAGCTCAGTGATAGAGCATGTGGCTGACATGTGTGAGGTCCTGAGTCTGACCCCCAGCACCACAAAAAAATGTGGGAAAAACAGAAGACACAACTCTGTAGATTGAAAAGACTTCCCAAGTGGACAGAACAATTAATGTATAAAATCCCAAACAAAAAGCTGGGTGCCGGTGGATCACACCTGTAATCCTAGCTACTCAGGAGGCTGAGATATGAGGATGGAGGTTCAAAGCCAGCCCAGGCAGGAAAGGCCATGAGCCTCTTATCTCCAATAAAAACCACCAGAAAACCAGAAGTGGCTCTGTAGCTCAAGTGGTAGCGCGATAGCCTTGAGCTAAAGAATGCAGGGACAGCGCTCAGGGCCCAGAGTTCAAGCCCCACGACTGACAAAAAAAAAAAAACAATCCCAAACAACATCATACATCCCGCTGACTATTGAACATAACCAAAAATTCTCTAGGACTTCAGAAAAGAGAATCCAAGATCACATACAAATAAGATAAAAATGACCTTAAATGTTTCAATAATGACTCCAAATAAAGGAAGGAAAGGGTCATAACTCTTAAAACTTCTTTTTTGTCAGTCGTGGGGCCTGAACTCTGGGTGGGCACTGTCCCTCAGCTCTTCAGCTCAAGGCTAGCACTCTACCACTTGAGCCACAGTGCCACTTCTGGCTTTTTCTGCTTATGTGGTGCTCAGGAATCAAACCCAGGGCTTCATGCATGCAAGGCAAGCACTCTACCACTGAGCAACATTCAGAGCCCTCTTAAAACTTTTTTTTAAAGACAGCTGTCTTTAACAAATGATGCTGGAAAATTTAGTTATCTTTGTGCAGAAAACTGAAGCTAGATACTCACATATCACCCTACGCCAGAATCAACTCTAAATGGATCAAAGACCTCATTGTAAGATCAGATACCCTGAAACTATTACAGGGAAGAGTAGGGTAAACCCCAGGACTTCTAGGTATGGGTAGAAACTTCCTAAATAAAGATTCAGAATCACAACAAATCAAAGAAACACTGGATAAATGAGATTGTATCAAACTGAAGAGCTTCTGCATGTCAAAGGACATGGTTAGCAAGATAAATAGAAATCCCACAGAATAGGAGATCTTTACTGGCTTTGCATCAGACAAGGGCCTCAAAGCTAAAATATACTTAGAGCTCAAAAAAATTAAACCCCCAAAAAGTAAACCCTCAAAAACTCAACAACCCAATCAATAAATGGGCTAAAGACTTAAAGAGAGACTTCTCAGAGGAAAAAGTAAGAATGGACAATAGACACAAGAATAAGTGTTCTGGCCATAAAAGAAATGCAAATCAAAACAACATTGAGATTCTACTTCACTCCAGTTAGAATGGCCATTATTAGGAAAACTAACAATAAGTAAATATTGGCAAGCATATGGCCAAAAGGGAACTCTATTGCACTGTTGGTGGGAATGTAAACGTGCTCTGGAAAGCAGTGTGGAAGTTCCTTAAAAGACTAAAAATAGAGCCCCCCTATGACCCAGTAATCCCACTCCTGAGCTTTTATCCAATGGACCACAAACCAGGCCACACTGAAATCACCAGCACAAGCATGTTCATTGCAATATTATTTACCATGGCCCAGATATGGAATCAATCCAGATGTCCTTGAGTGGATGAATGGATCAAGAATATATGGAATTTGGGCTGGGAAGGTGGCTCAGTGGTAGAGCACTTGCCTTGCATGCATGAGGTCCTGGGTTCGATTCCTCAGCACCACATAAGCAAAAAGAAAAAAGCCAGAAGTGGCGCTGGGGCTCAAGTGGTAGAGCACTAGCCTTGAGCTGAAGAGCTGAGGGACAGCGCCCAGGCCCAGAGTTCAGGCCCCACGACCAGACCCTCCCCAAAAAAAAAAAAAAAGAAAATATGGAATTTTATTCATCCATCAGAAAGAATAATATTGTACCATTTGTAAGGAAATGGAAAGACTTTGGGGAAAATTATATTAAATGAAGTAAGCCAGAGCCAAAGAAACAGCCTGCATGGTTTCCCTCATTGTGGTAACTAGAATATGCCTATAAATCTACAAATAAACACACTGAATGATTGTATGTATATATGTAAGTATATGTATATATACATATACATATATGTGCATACACACTGGGACATGATCAATTATATAGGACCCTGGACCTTCACACACTGAGACCAAAGGAAGCTATGCATCGGAGTGGTTGACAAAGGCTCAATAGCTACGTGCCTATAATCATATAAAACAATATTCTATGAAATGAACTCCAAGAAAAGGAAACGAGAAACATTTTTAGTTGACATTGTTACTGTTTTTGCTTTCTTTTCCTTTTGCCTTGTTTAGTTTGTATTTGGGAGGGTAAGGGAGAGCACAGAAAAGGTGAAACAAGGATGAACAAATACAAAGGTGTACACACTAGACTCTGTGGAAAATGAACCGCACATCTGTG